CTATTGCGTCTGGAGTTACTCCATTTGCCTTCACTGTGTCTGCGTATTGCACAAACTTCGTTAAGTGTTCATTCGGATCCTCAGTTGCATTTCCTGAGAATTGATTTTGTTGTACAGCTGACAACAATGACGGTTTTAGTTCGAAATCGGTTCGATTGATAGCTGGGGCGGCTATGCTACTTCGAGGTTCCAACTGAGAGGGTGTAGCGTAGTCCTTCAACGGTTTGTTCTGAGGTCCATCAGCCATCTTTGCTTCTTCAACAGGAGGATGAGCTAGAAGATCAGGAATATTGTGCCTTCGTTGATATTCGATGATGCGCCTTCTTAAATGTAAGAAGCGCTCTAGTTCGGCGATTGTAGGTTGTAAGATGTCGCATTGTGAGCGAGTACTTGGCATACAATCGAAGAACGAGTAGAGGGGGAGAGAATAGTTAACCTAGTGTATACTGTGTAACAAAAGATTACACTATTGACTAAACGGGTCCCCGACAACGGCGCCAAAAACTTGATCGCGACTTTCTATGTCTAACTCAATTAATTGCAAGTGCACAGTCTATCGTGTAGTAATAATAGATATCGATCCCACAGGGACTCGTAATCAAACTAGTATTTTCGGGTGTTACGGTGTTTAGCTAGGTTGGTAATGTTTTAGGGGAATAAAAACAAAATAAGTGCGTAAACTAAAGGGAACTAAAGCTTTTAATTAAGGTATGAGTACTTGAATCGGTATGTAATATGTTAGTTCTTAAGGGATTCTACAGGTCACCGGTGTCTTTAGGTTTTCAAAAATAGTTTAAGAAGAAAATGATGGTTTAAAGACCTTTGTCTCACGATGGTTGTTGACGCTAGTCGCAACTCTAAGGAGGAACGTATGTTGTCGCTATCCCGTTCGGGGTTAAAGTTACTTTTTGAAAACTATTAAGTTCTAATTCCTTTTAAAGCATTGTCACTGTTTTTAAAATGAATGCTTAGTTTTTACTATCTGGACTTAACCTCAGTTGTCGCTTGTTGGTTCGTACCTTTATGAATTTCCCACTGTCGTGGCAAAACTACTGTAAATAATTTCTCGCTGTCGCGACGAAGGTTTATTTAGAAAAATCGATTTAAAAACTGAAGCCATAAATAAGTTTTGAAAAGGTAGGTATACACCGGTTAATTATCGAATCCCATCAGATTATTTATTACATACCGATTACTTAAGATTTAGCCAGACATGGAATATAAATTAACAACACGTAAATAATGGCAGAAAATAATAATATGCATTATAATGGGAAATAGCAATTCAATTAACGATTAAAACAGAAACCTGTAATCGATTGGCTTTTGGGAAATCCTCCAAAATGGCGGCAGGATTTAGTCTTTATGCCAATTACTCGTACAAAATAGAAATGGGAAAGTAAAACAACAATTGCAAGGAAAGAAAGGAAAAGGAAACAAAATAACGATAAGAAAATGGGAAACTGAATATTGCTCTGAAAGTAAATTGGCAGCACTTCGTCTCTTCAATGCGGCTCCCTCTTTCTGGTATCAGCTCCCTCTTTTTATAGATGGGATTTTCAACCGTTTATTTCTTCGGGAAGTGGGAATGATATCAGAAAATATAGGAGTTAGTGGTCCACTCCTCTTTGGCATTTTCAGCATTTCACAGCACGTGCAAAAAAACTGTATTTTAACTCCATGACGGTCGTCATGGACCTGTGACGGTCGTCATGGACCTGTGACGGTCGTCACACCCTTGTGACGGTCGTCATATCAACAGAACTCGTTTTTGCTGCTTTTTGGCCTGGTTTTCACCTGGTTTTCACCTGTAAATGCTTCTTTTCTTCATCTTGCTCCATTTGAGCATGGACTTTGAATATCTGCAAAATACTGGACAAATAGTGTGGAAATATCCAAAATCAGAGTGAAAACGGTCGCCGATTAGTAGAAAAGTACGTCATTATATATATATGATTTCGCGTTATCAATTATCCAAGGATAAAATCCCACAATTACTTTTCTATATAAGGAGCTCTAAGCTACATTGGAAAGAAAACATTCTCATTGAAGATCTTAGAGTGTTAGGTTTTGTACAGTTTATCCAGACTAATGACCCAATAAGATTATTGTAGGATATTTATGTACACCTCTATGTTTTAGTAAATTGGCATATATGGTTTCTCTAGATGAGTTGTACTGAACTTTGTTTGTATACACCTCTATGTTTTAGTAACTTTCCATAGAAGGTTTGTCTAGTTGAGTGGGAATATTTAACATTCTCTCATCTTGTGAAGATTGAAGTTGATCATCAAGGTTTAGTGGTTGTTTGCCCCTGTCATTGGGGTTGTGGCCGAGAAGAAAGTGAGTAGGTTCTCATATTTAAGGAAAGATTCTAAATAAAAAGTCATTGGGTAGTGTTAGGAAGAGACATTGAACAACATAAGGTTTCTTGTTGCTTGTAAGTCTAAATGTACTAAAGTATTAATAATGAATTTTCTTTCTTGGGTTGTGGACTCGGCCCCTCAGAAGTAGGTGTAGTTTTCACTAAATTGGATAAACAATTGATTGTGTTGTTTATTAATTTTCTGCTCCATCATCTATTACGTGTTAGTGTATTGGTTCTGGTGTATCTTGATGTACGTGTTGTCGGAGCTTCGTGTTCGACATCTGTCCCTTGAGAAACGAAATTTCATTAAGGCATTGTCCTAAATGATTAGGGCGATTTTTCCGATGTCCCAATCAATTGGATATAAGTTCCAATCGACTGGCCATTACAAAAAATTGCTCATAACATTTCTGACAATTTATAATTTATCTGGTACGACTTCAAGTCATTTTTAAAAATGTTTTTAGTAAAAACAGGTTTTAAAACATGGTTTAATGTGCGTGTGATTCGCCATATAGTTTTACAAGAAAACCGTTAAACTTTTACAGTAATTGTTCACTCAAACGTATTAGGGCGAGCTTTTACACACTTCAAGACTTATCACATGCTTCAGTCTTATAGACACTTGTTTAAATCTTACTTGGTGATGAGGCTTGAAATATATTTCATTTAAATGTCATTATCATATGATCAAACTTATCAACCCTACTTAGTCTACTTGTATATTGGACTGATATGTGCTTGATTTGAGTTGTTATTGTCAAAGATTAGTTGTCATCATCAAAATCATGTTCATCTTTAAGAAAGATATTTTGATCAATAATATGCAAAACAAGGTTCCACAATCAACTCTTAAAGATAAATTCCTTAAAGACATTAAGCATGTTAACAACTACATTCCTTCCTCTTTGTGGTTTGAAAAGATATCTCGATCTAATCAAAATAAAAGTTCTTGAAAATTTAGAGGTTGTAAATCTATTTCTTTTTAAAATAACAATTAGAGTGATAACGTGCTCTCGAATGATTTAAATTTTCTTGATTATGTGTGAGTTAGATTGTCTATCAAGTTTTTTTTTTATTTCATTCATAATGGTTGCTAGTTCTTTTCCTGATTAGTTAATCATTGTCCAACCTTATCTTATTAATACAATCAAAGAATATATCATTCCACCCCAGTGATGATAAAGACCATATGGTTTAAAATCACTATTTTTCAGAGAGTTCGTTTTTAAAAATGCTTATGCTGCAAATTTCCCCCTCTAGTCTCCATGTTAGATGCGGAAATAAAATTTGGTCAAATGTGATTTGTTCTAAAATTTTGTAATTTGGAAAATTCTTTACAATGTTTTTTTTTGCTTTTTTGTATTTGGAATTGGTTCCCATCTGTTTTGGAGAGGCCTTTGCACTAAATAACCTTTTTTACTTAATAAATAAACATTGGAATGCGTAACTTGAAGATTTATAGTGTGTTTATTTTCGTGGTGGAAAAACGTACATTTGATCCAGAAACTACACTTTATACCTTTTGATTTTCATGTAAATTATTTTCAAATGGCATAAAAGCTAATCCAAACACGCACTTAATATTGTCAAACAATTACTAACACCTTTGTTGAACACATATATCATATATGCTATTATTTTGAAAATTGCGGGAGTAATAATACCACACAACCAAACGAAATCGACCACATATATTTTTATTTTTATTTATTTTATTTTTAAATTTTGTTTGGCATAATTTGTAGAGTAGAAGTAACTCCTGTTCACTAATTAAAATTAACACTCATTATTTTCTAAATTAAAATAGAACACACTAAAAATAAATTACACAGGAAGTATATTGGAGTTGAGTTTTATCGCCTTTGGTACCTTTTTTCTTTTTTTATTTATCTTAACTAATCATCCTATCACATTTAAATAGTCTATTTTAATTATTATTCATCTACCTTTTAAATAGATGAACTAAAGTTACCAAAACCACAAAACATTAAAGTTGCTAAAGTCATTCTAATATTTATTCTATTAAGACAGTTAAATGAATAGTTGTGCAAACATCCAAATACATAGCATGAATTTGTACCCAGGATACCATATCTTAAAATGTGTGTCGTGGGGCATCTTTGCAGATTATTCTCATGCTATAGAAATATTATTATTTAATTTTAATATGAACGTAACAAAACCAATAATAATTTTAAAATACATGAAATAATTTCAACTTTTAAATTCTACACTCATCCATTTCTCTCAATATAATAAATTATCTTAAGCAAATAATAAAAAAGACATTTTCTTTGTACTACCAAACTATTACAAGTCAAAGATGCTAAATTGGGATAAATATTTATTCATAAATAAGACATCACACAATTAACATAATAATTTATTGAATCAAAATAAATATTTTCAAATGAGTATTATTTTAAAACTCAACAAAGCATGGCACTAGCACCTTATGAACTAATAACACCGACACATATTTTACACAAAATATTGACAATAACACATAAACAATAGTAATAATAACTCGTAAACATAAGAAATCACGCGTCTGTGTCTGATTTATGTGTCTGTGTCGATAACACTTGACACGCCTTCGATCTGAATAGTTTCACTACATAGCGAACACTCACATTCTCAACCTATGTGGTTTGAGAGACTTATAAGTAACTGGCTCAGTAGCCATTTCCTGGGCAGTGTTCTGTTTCTGTCCCCAATGTGTTTTACAAGGCACATATTTCAGACTCTGCGGATTCGGACAAGGCTTCACCTTACATTGAAAGGCATAACACTCTTGCTTCGATTTTTGATTCGGAAGTCCTGGAATGCAATTCCTACTAACATCCAATATCTTCGACTTTAACAAGCTCCAACACGACGGTTCAAGAGCAGTAAAGTAATTATCAGACAGAGACAAATTCCCATTATTCCGTATACCAGGTAAAACACAAACACTCTCTGGAACAGTTCCGTAGAATTTGTTATGTGCCAAATTCAGAAACTGAATCTTGTCTAAACAACCAAACGAAGCAGGAATAGGACCAGTTAACAGATTTTCACTAACATCAAAAACAGTAGCTTTTTTCAAATAACCAATCTCATAAGGTAAACAACCTTCAAATTTATTCTGTAAGAAAAGAACTTCAGTTAAAGTTTTCGAAGCGTTACCGATACTTCTAGGAATCTCGCCCACGAATTGATTGTGTGCGAAAGTTAGATACCTTGCTGGAGTAGAACCAAAATTGGCAGGTAAACATTGACTAAACTGGTTGTTGTTGATGAAGATTACGTCGAGATCTTTCTCGAATAACTGCGATGGAACGGAACCGGTGAGGAAGTTAAACCTGAGGTCTAGGAAAACTAGTCTTGTAGATAGAAGAACTTCCTTCGGAAACGGACCGGAAAGTTTGTTGTTACTGAGGTCAAGTTCGTAGAAATAAGGGTATCTAGTGATTACTTCTGGGATTTGATTAGAGAAATTGTTAGAATTGACATGGAAGAAGGTTAATTCTTCTAATTTGTCTAATATACCTGTGAAGCCTGTGAGTGGTATAGTTTTACAGTCTTTACTTGCGAATTTTGCTTGGTTGAAGTCTAATCCAGCAACTGCTAGTTGCTTATCAATTGGGAATGTTCCACAAAGGATTCCATGGAATTGGCAAGTATCTGTGTTCTTGTTCCAGTTGCCAGTGTAGTTTGTGGGGTCACTGATAAGTGTTTTGAATTTGAGAAGTGCGGCGCGGGCTTTTTCTATTCGGGTAGGGGGACACGGCGGAGGTGGAGGTGGAGGGCAGTCATTTTCTGGGGAAGGAGCAGGAGCAGGAGAATACGCGCCTCCTCCGCCTCCGCCTCCGCCGCCTATGATGATTTCTAGTGTTTCTCTTTTAGATTCTGGTGTTAGGCCTAGTGCTTCACTTTCTGAAGATGCTACATGTTCTTGAGCAAGAACTATGTATTGAAAGTGAAGCAAGAAAGCACATGTTATTGCTAGGAATGAAAAGGAAAGGGAATTGATTTTTCCCATTTTGATTTTGAGATTTTTGTTTGATGAGATGAGTGAAAGAAACTATGGATTGGGACTATATATGGTATTATCGGATGGTTGCACCATTTTGTGTAAAAATAATTTGCATGACTTTTGGTTGTGGAAAAGTCAAGACTCGTGAACCTGAGGTGTATGATGGATCTAAAAAAACAAAATATGAGCACACTTATGATAAGCTGTTGTGCTTTCTTTTTCTAAGGATGACAATTTTCCATTATTTAAATTACTATTTGGCTAGTATGATATCTTTGGAGGGTGATAAGTTTCAAATAATTGGGATTAATGGAGTGGACAAACTCATGTTATGAGGCCTACCATGTTAATTTTTAATAGTTGGGTGCTTAAATACATGACTCTTGTTAAGATATTTTTTGGTTATATAAGGCAAAAATTAAATAAATTTAGAAAATATTACTGTCTTATTCAGCTAATATGGAATGGGTTAATTCAGGATAAGGATAATGTAAAATAAGTAGAGGCTCTAAACTACTTGCTCATTTTTTGCAAGATAAAACATAATAATTTGTTTTCCTTTATATCATAGGTTAGAAAATGAGAAGATTAAACACAGATTTTATGATGCGGCAAACAGAGAACATCAATAATGTGAGACATTGGATTGAACTCTAGTGTGGTCGAAGTCTGTTCGCAAGTAATGCGTGTTGTAGTCGAAGTTTGTTCTAACATGCATGAGTAAATATTGCTAAGGTTGTTAGCATGAGTAAATATTGCTAAGGTTGTTAGCATGTGCTATTTTATTATAAATAGGATGTTAATTTCTCAATCTTGGCATAAGGAAAAAAATAGGAAGATAAAATCCTAATTTCAAGGGAGAGAGGTTATTTTGTTATTCTTGTATACTTGTAATCTTGTTCAAAGAGAAAGGAAAGAATAACAGTTTAATAATCAATCTTTGTTGTTCCTTGTTATTTTACCTTGTCTTCTTTATTAACCCTAACCCTTGTGTGTTTCTTGATCATAAAGAAATCGTGTATACTTTGTTTAACGGTATCTTATTCACAACAAATTGGTGCGGTGAGCGTGGAGAAGATGCCTTCAACAAAGTATGAGATTGAAAAGTTCACCGGAGTGAACGACTTTGGTCTGTGGCGCTTGAAGATGAAAGCCTTATTGGTTCAGCAGGGTTGTTTGGAAGCGTTGAAGGGTGAGGCAGTCATGGACGCTGCGTTAACGGCAAAAGAAAAGACGGGCATGATCGAGAAAGCCCATAGCGTAATATTATTGAGCCTTGGTGATAAGGTTTTTCGACAGGTATCAAGGGAGACTACAGCATCGGGATTATGGGTGAAACTTGAAAGTTTGTACATGACCAAATCTCTGGTGAATCGACTATACCTGAAGCAAGCTTTATATTCATTCAAGATGAGTGAAGACAAAGTGTTGGCTGAGCAGTTGGATATGTTCAACAAGCTGATTCTTGATCTTGAAAATGTTGATGTGAAGATCGATGATGAAGATCAAGCACTATTGCTGCTGTGTGCTTTGCCCAGAACACATGCTCACTTCAAAGAAACTCTCTTGTATGGAAGGGAGTCCCTGAACTTTGAAGAAGTTCAATCAGCCTTGTATTCTAAGGACTTGAACGAACGAAAGGAGCATAAACCTTCGACGGTGGGCGAAGGTTTGACCGTTAAGGGAAAATTCTTGCGAAAGGATGGTAAGTTCGACAAGAAAAAAGGTAAAAGTCAACAGAAGTCTTATAGTGGCGAAACATCTAGTATTCGATGTTACCACTGTAAGAAGGAGGGTCACATAAGAAAGCTGTGCCCTGAACGCCTGAAAGATCATGGAGGTAATGGCAATGCAGCCATTGTTCAAGATGACTTCGACTCATCTTATGTTCTTGTGGTTTCAAGTGGCGACTCGAGGAAAGAGTGGATTATGGATTCAGGTTGCACTTGGCACATGACTCCAAACAGAGAATTGTTCGAGGAGCTATGTGATCAAGATGGTGGATCTGTGCTGTTAGGAAACAATAAATCTTGCAAAATTGCAGGTATTAGATCTGTGAGATTCAAGCTCCGTGATGAGTCAATAAGGTTATTGACTGAAGTCAGGTACGTACCTGACTTGAAGAGAAATTTGATTTCTCTTGGTGAATTCGACAAAAAAGGATATGTTTTTCAAGGAGAGAAAAGTATCCTAAGAGTCATGAAGGGGTCGAAGGAAGTCTTGAGAGGCGTGAAGAAACAAGGCTTGTATACCCTTGAGGCTGAGGTTGTAAGTGGTTCGACAAATGTTGCATCCACGAAATCTATGTCGAAGACAGAATTATGGCACATGAGATTGGGCCATGTCAGCGAAAGAGGCCTGGTCGAATTGGGGAAGCAGAACCTGCTAGGAGGTGACAAAGTCGAAAAATTGGAATTTTGTGAATCTTGTGTATTTGGTAAATCCTGTAGGGAGGAGTTTAACAAAGGCAAGCAAAGAACACATGGATCTCTGGATTACATTCATGCTGATCTTTGGGGGCCTGCAAGGGATCCTTCACACTCAGGTGCAAGGTATTTTCTATCCATCGTTGATGACTATTCCAGAAAACTATGGGTATTCATTCAGAAGACGAAGGATGAAACTTTTGAGAATTTCAAAAGTTGGAAGATTCTAGTCGAAACTCAGACTGGCAGAAAGGTTAAGAGGTTGAGAACCGACAATGGCCTTGAATTCTGCAACGAAGCTTTCGACAGTTACTGTGTTGGGTCTGGGATTGCAAGGCATAAGACTGTAGCAGGTACTCCTCAACAAAATGGCTTAGCTGAGAGATTCAATCGAACAATCCTTGAAAGGGTTAGATGCATGTTGGTTAGTGCTGGATTGAAGAAGGTGTTTTGGGCGGAAGCTGTTTCGACAGCAACTTACTTGATAAATAGATGTCCCTCGACTGCCTTGGGAATGAAGACACCTGAAGAAGTTTGGTCGGGACATCCACCTAGTCTCGACAGACTGAGAGTATTTGGCTGTGTGGCCTATGCTCATATTAGGCAAGACAAGGTCGAACCTAGAGCTCTGAAGTGCATGTTCATGGGATACCCTGAAGGAGTCAAAGCTTATAGGCTATAGTGCCTAGAGCCAGGTCACAGGAGGTGTATCACCAGTCGAGATGTAGTTTTCAACGAAGCAGAGATGGCTTTCAAGAAAACTGATGATGCTGACGAAGAGCTGGAACATGGAGAGATTCCTGTTGAGGTGGAGCATGTTGATGCTGAATTGCTTACCCCAGATGAAGTCAAAGAAGACACAGAAGATGTTGTCGAAGATGAGGAGACTGATAATGACTACCTGCTAGCAAGAGACAGGTCGAGGAGAGTCATCAATCCACCTCAGAGACTTGGGTATGCAGATCTTATAGCTTATGCCTTAATCTCTGCAAGTGAGGTTCTAGACGAAGAACCTAGAGACTATAAGGAAGTTATGAGGAATCAAAAGAAGACAAATTGGTCTTTGATGTATGCTATGGTATGTACTAGACCCGACATAGCATATGCAGTAAGTCTTGTAAGCAGGTGCATGGCGAATCCTGGAAAGGCTCACTGGCAAGCATTGAAGTGGATTTTAAGGTTGTATGGACTCTAGAAAATCTATCTCTGGATATGTGTTCACTATGTTTGGGACAGCAATCAGTTGGAAAGCAACACTTCAGAAGGTCGTTGCCCTATCAACCACTGAAGCGGAGTATATTGCCCTAACTGAAGCTGTGAAGGAAGCATTGTGGCTTGAAGGTTTTGCAAAGGAGCTAAAACTTCAAGGTCGAGTTATCACTGTTAAATGTGATAGTCAAAGCGCAATACACCTGTCGAAGAATTCAGCCTATCATGAGCGAACCAAGCACATTGATGCGAGGCTGCATTTCATCAGAGGGGTAATCGAGCGTGGAGAAGTCCAAGTGCTGAAAGTTTCGACAGATCATAATGCTGCTGATATGATCACCAAGACATTGCCCAGTTGCAAGTTTTTCCACTGTATGCAGTTAATAAATCTGCATGAAAAAAGCTAGTTTCTTGATGTTATAGTGTTAGATCCAAGGTGGAGATTTGTGAGACATTGGATCGAACTCTAGTGTGGTCGAAGTCTGTTCGCAAGTAATGCGTGTTGTAGTCGAAGTTTGTTCTAACATGCATGAGTAAATATTGCTAAGGTTGTTAGCATGAGTAAATATTGCTAAGGTTGTTAGCATGAATAAATATTGCTAAGGTTGTTAGCATGAGTAAATATTGCTAAGGTTGTTAGCATGAGTAAATATTGCTAAGGTTGTTAGCATGAGTAAATATTGCTAGGGTTGTTAGCATGTGCTATTTTACTATAAATAGGATGCTCGTTTCTCAATCTTAGCATAAGGAAAAAAATAGGAAGATAAAATCCTAATTTCAAGGGAGAGAGGTTATTTTGTTATTCTTGTATACTTGTAATCTTGTTCAAAGAGAAAGGAAAGAATAACAGTTTAATAATCAATCTTTGTTGTTCCTTGTTATTTTACCTTGTCTTCTTTATTAACCCTAACCCTTGTGTGTTTCTTGATCATAAAGAAATTGTGTATACTTTGTTTAACGGTATCCTATTCACAACAAATAACTATACTAAATAGTCTAAAATTAATCTATCTAGTATAAAAAAAATTGCAATAGTGAGGTAAAAAATAAAAACTCCAGTTTAATAATAAAATGTTTACACTTGAGGAAGAAGGCAATTTTGTATGACACTATCAATTAAGAGTCTTTAATCAATATGTTATAAATAAATTTTAAGAAAATAAATCTTTAAGTTTATAAGAAAAACATTTTTTATTTTCTACCTAATTTATTACTCAATATATCATTCTTCCAAGATATAAACCATTCAATTTCAATATGTTTAAAAGTATTGTTGTGATTACAAATGATATCTTTCAACAAATAAAGATTGAGAAACAGAGTTCTTGGGTAAACAATAAAAACAGTTAGAACAAAAAGAGAAAGAAGAAA